GCAAAATAAGTCATTTTCTAAGGTGTATTAGATTGTAAAGGTGCAAACCAGAAAGTTGGCACAGAAGGTATTTGAGATATAAAGCTTTCCAGCATCGTTTTCTATTTTAATTATCAATATTAAACATGGTTTCTTTCTTCCTCCCTTCCCCTCTTCCTTGTTTTCTTCTTTTTTAGAGACAGGGTCTTGCTCTGTCACCAGGCTGTAATGCAGTGACACAATCATAGCTCACTGCAGCCCTGAGTTCCTAAACTCAAATGATCCCCCACCCTCAGTCTCCTGAGTAGTTAGGATCACAGGTGTGTACCACTACACCTAGTCAATTTTTGTTGTTGGAGAAATGGGTCTTGCTATGTTGCCCAGGCTGGTCTTGAACTCTGGCCTCAAGTGATCCTCCTACCTCTGCCTCCCAAAGCAATCCTTTATATATTATAGTGACTATGAAACAAAAGTAGTCTTACATTTTTTTCTGTCATCATAGTTCTTTCAGATGACTTCTTTTTTCTTGCCCGCCCAGTGAGAGGTCAGCCAGCACCCCTGTACATAAGAGGGAAACAAAGGCACAGATAAGGTAGTGTCTTGCTCAGGCTTGTAGAAAGCATGAGTGTTAGAGTGGGAATTGGAAGGAAATCCTGCCTGCTGCTCTGGGACACAGATGCTCTCACTACTCTACCCATTGTCCAGGCTGTTTCCTGGACATTTTACAGAGGAAAAATTTGAGGCCAAAGAGCTAAAGCGACTTGCCTTAGGGTCTTGCTGGTAAATGGTGTAACCAGAATTAAAACTCAGTTTCCAGACTCCCAGTTCAGGTTTTTTTTTTTTGCTTGTTTTCCAGAATCCATAGGTTCTTTATGCCCGTTGCTTATATAGAATGACAATGATATGATGGCATTAACTATAACAATGTCTGAATCTTACAGTACCCACAATTGGGAGTAGAGAAAAAGAAATCTGTAGTGATGAGGAGGATGCAGGGCAGTCAGCCAGGCTTCTTCCTTTGCTTGCAGACAGACCCTTGGGATGCACATGGTTTGGATTCGTCTTCAGCAAAATTGCAAATCACCCCATGCCATACAGGTAAATGACTAAAGCAGTGGCTGTTAAATCCATGAGCACCGAGGGTTTTGCTGTGTCTGGTACGGGCACGGTAGCCCACACAGCACAATCACATTAAAAGAGGAGGAGGGAGCATAGATGAGACTAGGAGGGTACTTTAAATACAGGGGAAGCTTTGGTAAGGTGTTATCTTAGCCGTCAAGGTCATTGTGATGGTTATGGTAATCCTAAGGAGTCCTTTCAATTAAATTACCTATATCCAGCATCTAAAATTTATTAATCTGAGGGACAAATGTGTTGGCTCATCACCTGAAAGACTAGGTATGCCTGGATCTAGGGACTCAAGTCATGATGTTGTGATCCCATCCTGGCTCCTCCATCGTGGGCTCTGTTCTCCTTGGCTGTCACCTTTATTCAGGTGTGTTCTCCCTGTGCAGTGGTAAGATGATTGCTGGCAGCTCTAGACTTACTCCCTGGTCTCTCAGCAATCCCAGTGGAAAAAAAGAGTCTCTCCCTCCACACTGTAGCAGAAGTCCAGGGATTGGGTCAATGCCCATGCATGACCATGGTCCATGGGATGGAATTCACAGATTGGACAGGCCTGATAAATAGACCCACCTCTTGATCTAGGAGGGAAAGAAATAAATGTTAGCTTCATCCAAGCCATGTAAATTGTGGGATCATGGGAGAGAAGGAAAATCAGATGAAGGGAAATGAATGCACATATTACTACTGCGTGTGGGTTTTAGACTTTCTTTGGACTTACCATTAGTCAGTGGCTTCGTAGGTAGAAGGACCATTTTAACCCTTGTGTCTAGGTCAGTGCTGTCCAATAGCACTTTCTGCAATAATGGTGATGTTCTTTAATTGGTCCTGTCCAATGCAATAGTCACTAACCACATGTGGCTAATGTGAACTTGAAATGTGGCTAGTTCTGCCAAGGAACTGTATTTTTAATATTAGCCAATATTTAATATTAGATAATTTTAATTACATTTAGATGTAAGTAGCTACATGTGGCTCATGGCTACCATACTGGACAGAGTAGCTCTCAGTCATAGCATAGGAGATAGTTCCCTAGGAGGCATGACCTGGCCTTGTGTAGGAGACATGGGCTGAGGGTTAAATGTAGTCTGAGAGCATATGGATTTGGTTCCTGTCATGGAGTAGAAGAAAAGGAAGTTTGGACATGAGGGAGAGAAAAGGGAGAAAGAAACACAGAGTCCTTCATCTGTGGCATCACTTGGAAGTCCTTAAGTTGAGAAATATATTTTCCATCTAATATGTGAGCCAGATTTGTACCAGAAAGAAACAAAATCACTGACCGTGTTGTGAAAGTGAATTAAAGGGAACTCCATGACATGTTGTTACATTTAATTTAAGTGTCCAACAAGAAAAGCAGCCATTGCCTGAATGACACACACAGCTATACATAGATAAAAAGAAAAATTATGTTGTGCAGTGTTATTTAAAAAAAAAAAAGCATATTGTGTAAATTTGTATGACTGGGCAACAATTAAACACAGTTTAAATAAATGACATCAGATGAATAGAATTAACTTATAAAAGCAGAGCCTGGACACAGTAATGCACACCTGGGGCCAGTTAAAGTCCAGCCTCTCAGCAAGCTTTGTGATGGACATTTCATCATGCTGCATGCCCTGGAGGGGGTGTGTGGAGACTACCATGCGGTGATGCTTGCCCAGCCTACGTTCTCTTGGTGGTCAAAGTCTGGTTTCCAAGGGTGGTGATTGGTGGTGAAGGTAGATTCTCTCCTGCCCACCTGCAGCTGGGATGCCTGGCTTCCTCAGACTTGGTCAGTTGCCTGATTTTGTTCTCTAAGCATGCGTGGAGGAGGACCTGCCATGCATTTAGCATCCTGCTGAGCCCTGGGAACTACTTAGGAAGAGGAGGAAAGTATGAGACTTGGCTCCTGTCCCTGCAGTTTGCCTGGTTCCCTGGCCCTCAGGATTCCTCTCCCCCATCACTCAAGGCACGTGGCCATCAGCAGAGATTAAGAAGGAGTATTCTGGAGCTAGACTGCCCAATCCTGTGGCCAGTATCTGGCATACAAAGTGCTCAAAAAAAAGAAAAAAAGTTTCATGTTGCTAATTTAGAGAATCAACTGGTGTATAGCAGAAAGAAGGAGCATGTTAGAGTAGGTGAAGTAACCTGGATTGAACCCTGGACTGGACAACTAGGAGGCATGTGAGCCCCAGTCTCCCTATCTGTGAAGTGGTCTGATGAATTCTCAAAAGGGGGCTGTGTGATGGAGCCTCCCAGTTGCACTGTTATTTATTAAGGGCCTACCATAGCAGGATTCAATTACAGTGGCTGCTCTGGTGGGCCAGAGGGTCAAGTTGCTGTGAGGGAAGAGTGGGCCAGGGAAGAGGGTCTTGTGCACAGTATGTATCCTCAAGGCAAGCCACTAATTTTAAATCCATCCTTGATTCATGTTAGACTTGGGTGTCATTAAAGCCAAGTCACCGTGAGGAGCCTACCCATACTGTGGAATCCTCACCAGCACCATCTTGCCAGCAAACCTGTGCCCACCCCAATGACCAGTGGCTCCTGCTGCTTCCTGAGGGGGCCCAGGCAAAGGCAGAACAACATCTTAGAACCATCAGCCATAACCTAGGATCGGTCTCTATGATCTGTTCTGATTTTGGGGCCCTCGGGCAGTGTGGGCTATTAAACACATTGTGAATGGGTGTCAGCATCTGAGTGCTGATGGCATGTTTGGGGCATTGTTGGGTCCCAGGGCATGGTAAGAGACAGAAAATCACCCTTCAGCCAGGAAATCACCAACAGACATTTGTCACTAGCTCCCCTTCCTGCCCCTCTCCCTCTGTGGGCTCCTCTAGCCAATCTCCCAAGCAGACAAGATTGTGGATTCCTCTGGGGAGAGAATAATTCATTTCAGTAGAAGAGAAAGCATTTAGGAAAGAGTCGATTAGGAAGTGATGCCAGGCAGCTGCACTGCCGTGAGCATGGGCTCTGGATCAGGGGTCAATCGAACACTGGGCATGCATGGCGTACACACATGTGTTCCTGGGCACATGCCCGGACCCACTCTTGCCCCTTTGTTGGAAAGCAGAAATGTGTGGGATTTTGCAGTTATTTTTGCAGTTTCTTCTGTCCTCTTTAGTCTCTGTTAATGCTGGGCTTCTGTAGAACCAACAGAGCCAGAGGACCTTGGAGCCTGCTACAGAAGATGCTTTTCTCTTTGTTCTGCCTGTTTCTAGACACGCTTTCAGTTGTCTAGACTGTGTATGTCTTCCTTGACATAGTTATAGTTTTCATGTTGTGATCTCATCTTTATCTGTGTGTATCAGATATGTGGTAAACATTGAAGACAGAGTAATGTTCTGTCTTAAGGAGCTTCACAGTCTTAGGTGGGGACAGAGTTTAATAACACAATTGTACACCTGGAGTGCTCAGTGCAGGGTGGATCTGAGAATGGGGTGGCAGCATGAGGTTACATAGAGAGATTTGTAAGCTCTTCTCAGAGGCTGGTAGTCTGGGAAGACCTCACAGGGTGGAAAGTGATGTCCATATGAGATCCCAAAAGTAGATGGAAGAAAATATGGAAGGAGAGCCAGAGAATGGGTTGAGGGGAGCATGTGCAGAGTCCTGAATGTGACCGGGAGTGGGAGATTAGGGGGAAGAAAAGGGGGAGAGACACAGGGGATGAAACTGGAAAGGAAAGTGGCAATTTTAGATGTCAGTATTTTTCCTAAACTGTAATTGAAGCTAAAACATGAATTTTGAAAGTAAATTTTACATTGATTAAGTTCTTATGTTTTGAACATAGAAAGAAAAAAATTATGACCACTTGGGTCCGAGATTCATTGGTTGTGATGCAGCATACATCTAATTCATTCAAGGTTGGTGTTTCACATAACAAGACAGACACTAATGGATTTTCTGCTTTGTTGTTTCAGCACTTCAGGGAGCATCTGGACAAACTTTTTGCCAAAGGAATTGGAATGCTGGATATAGCTCTGAATGAGGCCTTCAACATTCTCAGCGATGTAAGTGCCTCCTTGATTTGCCTTTCTCATCCCCAAGAGAATAGATGGGATTTTTTTTTTTTGGTTACCCAGGATGGAGTACAGTGGCCCAATCAAGCTCTTGCAGCCTTGAACTCCTGGGCTCAAGTTATCTACCTGCCTCAGCCTCCCTAGTAACTGGGACTTATAGGCCTAGGCCACCAGGCCCAAATAATTAAAAAAAAATTTTTTTTTTTTTTGTAGAGATGAGGTCTTGCTATGTAGCCCAGGTTAGTCTTGAACTCCTGGACCCAAGTGATCCTTCCACCTCGGCCTCCCAAAATGCTGGGATTATAGACATAAGCCACTGTGCCTGGCTGATTTTTATTTTTAATTGTGGACCAGTTCTGGCTGTCATAGAGCAGGAGACACAGGCATGGACTTGGAGGGTGAGACTGACTGACCATTTAACTCGTTTGGGGAACCAAGTGCCAGCTGGTAAGGCCAAACAAGCCCCTGCTGCTTAGAATTGATGATGAAGTCTGGCCATGGAACTTGTTTGCCATCTTCATGCTTATTGGCTCCAGTGCCATCAATGTCTCAACATTTGAACACCTTATAATGCAGATTGCTTTTCACTCGAGAAACTCTCAATTTCTTCCTCGAGTAAACTCATTTCTCCTTGTGTATCCCACTGAATTCCCATTTGTGGGCTGTTCAGCTGGAGTGTATTGCATGGTATACCTATCCTTTCCCTGCTCTGGCTCCTGGAGGAGTCACAATATGCAGTAGAATATTCCAGGCTTCCATAAGAACTGCAGGAAGGAATCCTACTTAACCTGGTGTTTCTGACACGTCTTTGAACAATTCCTTTTTCAAGTCGTACCTGTTAACGTCCCGTGAAACATGTTGAGGAGTCCTGGGATGGTGATTCTGACCATTGAACTCAATTGTGTTAAGCTAGAACAACATGCTACTATTGTTTTCTTGTTACTCTGGGAGGCATAATAGGGAATAATGATTATCTTTATTAATCCAGGGCCTGTGTCACATTTATATATCTAGTATATGTTGCATGCTTTTTAATGCCAAGCACTGGGAATATAACAGTGAACAGAAGAGACAAAGTCATTGCCTTAATGGCTTATGAACTAGTGCAGAGGTCAGCAAACAGTGACCTGTGAGCTAAGTCCTGTCTGTAGCCTGTTTTTGTAAATATGCTGCTTCTTTGGGACACAGCCATGACCGCCCATTTACGTATTGTCTATGGCTGCTTTTGCACTACATGGCAGAGTTGATTCGTTGTGACAGGGAGGCCATATGACCTCTAAAGCCTGAAATATTTAATCTGTGGCTCTTTGCAGCAAAATTTTGCTGACCCCAGTTCTAGTGGGAAGAGGCAAGTAGTTCTACAATAGTACTATTGTTCCAGCATGATAAGGAGTGCCAGGAGGAAGAGCAGTTTCCACTTTATACAGTGAGGTCAGAAAGAGTCTCTCTGATGCAATGACGTTGGTATAGAGACATGAAGGAAGTGAGGGAGCAGCCGCATGGACATCTTGAGGAAGAAGCTTCCAGCAGGAGAAGCAGCAAGTACAGAGGCTCTGAGTTGGGGATGTTTAGCATAGTTACAATACAGCAGGAGACCCGTGTGATGTGAGCAAAGTGGGGAAAAGAGAGTGCAAGGGGATGAGATCATGAAAGTAGCAGGAGCCAAATCCTGTAGAGTTGTAGAGCCTCTAGTGAGGACTTCAACTCTCCATGTGTGGGGAAGCCATTGGAGAGTCTGAGCAGAGAATGGCATGTGCATTTTAAGACCATTTTTCTCACTGCTGTGTTTAGAAGCAGCTCTAGGAGTGCAAGGACTATAGCAGGGAGTCCATTAAAGTGCCTGGGTGGAAGATAATCATCGCTTGCACCAGGAAAATAGCAGTGAAGATGTGAAGAAGCAGAAAAAGAGAAACCACTCTAAGTATTTCAAATATTAGTTTAATTGAGGAAATTGATTGCATAGGAGACGAGAAAGCTGATAAACCAAACAAGGTATAAAGCAATCCATATATTAGCACCAACGGAGGCATCTCTTTTCTTAGACAGTGGGTATAACTCGAGGGTGGGGTGACATAAGAGCCTAGTCACTGTGGCCGTCCAGATGGTAACAGGACCATAGAGGAGACTGCCCAGCAAGAACTAGAACCAGAGAGAGAAGGACCTGTCCTGTGGAAGCTGGAACTACAGAGAAGACGCAGCCATGGCCAGAAAATGTCCATCTGCTTAGAGCAGAGGGAAATAGCTTAGAAATTCCTCAGGTTCTTTCTCCTTTGGATGATCTTTTTCAAAACTGTTGGGGAGCCTGAGGACTGCGGTTGGCAGAAAAAAGGTATGGGATGGTGTGAGAGCAAACAGGAACTAAGTGGAGCACTAGCCACCCCAAGACACCAAGCCAGAGCTGGGAGACCAGAAAAGATTCTCAAGAGCTTCCTACTGTTGGTCTCCAGGCAGTTCTGCAGGGCAGGCCATTTTCATTTTGCAGGTGAGCACATAGAAACTCAGACAGGTCAGTCATTCACCCAACACTGCATAGCTTGATTCCAATACTTGAGTTTGCACTACTCAGCTGCACTGGCCTTGCAAGCAAAGGGTTGGCCTTAATTTCAAGACTCTTTTTTTACCAATAATACCTATTGTTACAAAGAAGGTATTTAGGTTTCAGTCCTGAGCCAGTGTCATGACTGCAGAGGAGAAGAGAAAAATAAGGAGTGAAGGTGCCAAGTCAGTCTCTTCAATACAAATCAAAGCCCTAGTCACCTCACTCCATGGGGCTGTTGGCTATAGGTATATAACATCTATGTAAGAGTCCATGTTTTGGACAGTCCTTCTCTGTTGACAGTGTGTTAATAGTTAAGAAGCATAGCTGGCCAAGGCAGAAAGCCAGGCTGCACCTTGAAATTCTGGTTTGAACTCTAGGCAGGCGCCTTCTCAGGCCTTGGAGCTCTACATCTCAGCAGGCTCTTTCCAGGTGGTGGCATTGAAAAGATATGTCACAATTTGAATATTCGCTCTCTTTTTAACTCAACAACCTAGCTTCCAGAGCAGGGAGAGGCTCCTCTGAGCTGGGGTGGTGCCTTGTTTGAAAGTCTACCCTGCAGTGAAATTCTGTTTCCCTGTTCTCTGGCCTAGGTGGTGAAGGAGTGAGAGTGAGGAGATTGGTGTGTGGCTAAATTTGTGATCTCTAAAGTCAGGGAGGCTGGGCTGAGAAGCCCGACTCAGTCAGAACTTGCTGTGTGGCCTTGAGGAAACAATTTTCAGTCTCACCCTTATTTTCCATATCTGTATAATGGCTACAGGAATGGACTCAGCACTGGCCGGATAAATTGTGAGGCCCAGTGCAAAATGAAATACAGTGCCAATTATCCAAATTTATGAAGAATTTTAAGGGAGTCACCGTAGAGCATCGGTGCAAATGTGGCACTTTCTCAGCATGGTCCTGTGTAGCTGTGTACGTCAAATGCCACAAGACCATCCTGGTGAACCCTTTCTCATGAGATTGAGAATTGAACCTGATAAGGCAATACCTGGCCCCTTTCAGCAGTGCTGGGTGACAGGTACCATCTCCATGACTACTGAGACAGTGGTCCCTGGAGGCAGCTTCCATTTGGGATGCTTTGGTCCTGCTCTCTAAGTCCCCAGGAGCATCTGCTTCCCTTCATCTTTCCCCTTCTTCTGATCCTTGCCCTGGTACCATTTCACAGCCCATCCTTTCCATTTATCACTTTTTGTTCTCAGACATGCCTAAGCCAGTGTTTCCTGTAGCTTGCCCAATTTAATGCTGGTCTGCCAGGAGGCTCCCACTTAGAGACTATGGTTAAGGTGGGGAGACATCATCCTCTTCTTAGAGACTTGTAAGGTACTTGCACATATTAAAGGCCCTGAAAAATCTTGCAGTGAACAGAACTTTTAAAATGTGTGTATACCAGTACTCAAACTTATTGACCCAGAAACACTTTAAATCATATCATTAACTTCAGTATTAGTATCTTGTATAAGTCATTGCTCACTCACCACATTTTTGGGCAATATGTCATTGTCTACTTCAAGAGGGGCTGTTCAGACTCCCATAGTAACCACTAAAACCCAGAGAAATCACCAACACATGTTGGATTTTTTCCCTTGAATCTCTGTGAGGGAAGTATTTTTGAACACGGAAACCCCGCACATACCTACCTGCCCTGTCTTTCCCTATAAAAACTCCTTCTGGAGTCTGGCTAATCAGAAAACCAGATGGGCTGAAGGTAAGTTGTGGAAAGCAAGAAACCAAATAAATGTTAAAGAAAAAATAATGAATGTTACAAAATGTCCCTGCTTGGGATTGGTTGACAGAGGACACCATGTTTGTTTGAGAGTACATTTATCCTACAACGAGAAACATTCCTATCCTGTCTCTTGCCACTGGGCTTTTAAATAGCCAAACTCTTTGACAAATACAGAGATGGTTAATCTCCCATGAAAACAAAGCTTTATCTATTTTCTGCTTCATCAATATAACCTTGAAGTGATATAATTCTCTTCCTGTGTATTAGGTTTGCCTCTGTAAGCCAATATGAAATAAAAAGCTACTTCTCAAATACACAGATACATACATACATACGCACACACACAACTGAAATTGTGATTGTAGCTGGAACTTAGAATGATTCAGAGGTTACTATAATTAAATGGGGTTAATTCTGTTTTACAATTACATGCATTTCAGTTTCAGTATTTGCTCAGATGACTTAAAGGCTTGCAGTTGTTGATACAATATCTTTGAAAAGAGCATTCACATAAACTTCTAAGCCCCTTCTAGCTATTGATCTCTGTTGTATTCATTAGATTCTATAAGAGCACAGAGCCAGTTTGCTACAGTAGTTAGCATCTACCTTGTCATGTGACAACTGCAATTATCTTTTCTGGCGATGAATGTGATCTTTGCAGTGATTACCTTTTAAAAATTTTTCTTAGCCAATTAAATAAAATTTGGTGACATTTCAAAGACTGTTAATCACAACCAAATGCTCTAAATGTCAGGATGCATTGAAATTTTTGCTACTAACTGATGAATCACTTAGCTAATTGTAGTTCATCATCAGGCCCTTGTCATTGTTATTATTATGGAAAACACTTTCATCACTCTCGCTATTCAATAAAAAAAAAAAAGTTTTAGAAAAATATGAAGAGAAGACATAATATTCATCAAAGCATTTGAATTTAATTGCATTCTTCAAAATTCTCCCAACTGCAGATTGCAGCAGAGAATACCAGGGACCCAGCCAGAGAAGAAAGTAATGTTTTTAAATAAACAGCTCCTGGCGGTCTTTCATTTCAGTCTACATTATTCTGGTATCTTCATTTTCCTCCCTTTCTTTCCTTTTGTTTGGGGAAGTTTTTCCAGGATATTTTCTTTTTTTTTTTTTTTTTTGAGTTGGAGTCTCACTCTGTCACCCAGACTGGAGTGCAGTGGTCGCTTCCGGCCACCGCAGCCTTGACCTGCTGGGCTCCGGCGATCCTTCCGCCTCAGCCTTCCAAGTAACCGGAATTACAGGCGTGTGCTACCACGCCCGGCTGATTTTTTGATTTATTGTAGAGATGAGGTCTCGCTGCCCAGGCGGGTCTCGAACCCGCGGGCTCAGGCAATCCTCTCACCTCAGCCTCCCAAAGGCGCAGGATTACAGGCTGAGCCGCTGAGCCTGGCTTCAGGATATTTTCAAATGCACTTCCTAAACAATAACCTTAGGGCATTCTGATTTACTTCCCTTCTGAAGCTTCTATGACCTGAAGCACAGATCACTTCTACTCAGAGGCTTGCTGCTGGGTTTGTTTAATTATGTGAAGGCTGTGTTCAATGCAGCCTCCCCAGAACATCTCCAGAACAACTTGTTGATAAGACCAGGCCATAAGGCTTATTTTTTTCTTGCTGCAGTAAGGGGGGAACAAAAGCACCACCATGACAGAGTCTTAGTGGCTTCTCAGAGTGGGAAGGACAATGTCAGGATATTTATTGAGATTTTGAAGTCTGGTTGAAGGCGAGTCTTTCAGTGTGAGAGCGGGGAGGAGCTTGGTTAGGATCCTTAGGATTGGGTAAGAATCCTAATATTATAGTTGAGGAACAATAAATACAGCAAGGGGAAGGTTTTGAGATCAGGGATTCAGAATCTTAGGGTATAAATTGTCCTTTCTATTGAAGAGTTGATGGGACTTTCAAGAAGTTCCTGAAGTAAACAATACAGTTTTTTGCAAGTTTTATCTTCCTGGGCATGTGTTTTCTGGAATAGTGTGTTATATTGATAAAGACTGTAGAATAGCAGTCACATGGAAAGATGTGTAATGTGATCATTTTAGTTTTCAAGTGTTTTTGTCTGTCAGTGTGGTAGTGTCATGGGCTTTGTTTGCTCATTAACTCCAGTGCTCATGTCCAGTCTGAGTTGTAGGAGTGGCTACCCGGGCCAAGACTAGCCTGAGGCAAGTGCCTCGGGCACAAAATTTAAGGAGCACTCAAATTAGGGTCACAACCCCGGTGACAGTTGTGTGACCCTGGAGTTCTGGGACCATGGATTATGCTGAATTAGAGTAGATCCTAGAGCTAGAAGGTCTGGATTCAAATCCTGATTATGTCAGTAGTAGTTGTGTGACCAGCAAGTTAGCTAAAAAAAAAAAAAAAAAAACTCTCTGTACCTCAGTTTCCCCATCTGTAAAACATGAATAATAAGAATTCCTACCTCAGAGGCTAGTAAGGATTATGTTAGTACATGTAAACCCAGCATATTTTGAGCATTTAGCCTGTCTTGTGCCAACCATGTAAAGATGTTATTCTCATCTTAGAAATGAATAGATGAATGCTTAGGAACGAGAACTTTTTGCAGACACACAGTTGTGGTGCTGGAATGGGATTTAGTGCTCTCCACCATACTGTGGTATCCCATGAATGTTTTGAGTAGGCTTCATTCTGTTCTAGTATGGCCACAAGGCAATTCCTGCCACCCACCCACCCATCCACTCATCCAACTATCATTCCACCTATCCCTCCACCCATCCATCCACCCACTCATTCATCCATCCATCCACTCATCCACCCACCCACTCACACATACAGTTATATATTATCTTGGCTCATCTACATTGACTTCTAAGTGCATGGAGACTGGGCATTAATCACTTTAACTTGAATGCTTTATTATCTCTCTGGTTCACCAGTGGCCAGCCAGCAAAGTCAAGAGCCAAGGGCAGCCTCCATCCTTCCCCAGGGTCATGGTAATAGTTTGAGCATTTCAGGCACACTCCCACTGGACACCTTTGCACTTACTCTTTGTCGTTTTCAGAATGTCCTTCCTCCAGATACTCACCTCCTTATGTCTCCTCAATAGACATAATGTGTCCATCAATTCACTCAAACCAACCTCATTTAGATTTTAAAGGCGATGTTGCCTCTCAGATAGCCTGTTGTCCCTGTATAATGTGTCTCCAAAAGGTTATTGTGCCATGTCCTCTGGGCTTGTTCTGAGACTATGCTTGAAGATAAGAGAGGTTATCTCCTCTGGGCTTGTATTCTGAGGTCTATGCTTGAAGACAAGAGAGGTTATGCATCCTAGAATCTTCCTTCTTACCCCTTGTGTTTTTTAGTAATTCTTCCACAGTCCATATTTAGATTCAACTTGTCACAGCAAATTGGTAACTGTGAAAAGTGTCTTGTATAGTTTCTGTTTTGGTGGTACACAATGAGCTCTCATTCTGAGAGACTTCCTAAGCCCTAGGCTTCATGCCTCTGATGCCTCACAGATACACAGAACATTCTGCTGAGAATTTTATTTTGCACTTATATCTTTCCACAGTTCAACCACACAGGACAAGGAAGTATCTGCAGCCAGGCCATCATGCTCATAACTGATGGGGCAGTGGACACCTATGATACCATCTTTGCAAAATATAATTGGCCAGATCGAAAGGTAAGTTGATGCCAGCACCATCCATGCAGTGGAGTTCATCTGGAATCTTTATTGTAATCTCCAGCTTGTCCACAGATAAGTGGCCCATGTAGATTTAATCTCATAATGACCTATGGTTTCTCAGCCATGTGATTTTTGGTTGACCAAAACTGAAGACTATAGCTTTCCTTGTTTTCAAAATGAAACATTTTTTGTTTTTTAAAGACAAGTTGGGTGTGTACTGTGAAAAGATATATTGTAAAGAGTGCTTCATCCACAATTGGCAATGCTTTTTTTGTTTTTATTTTCCTTGGAGCCAGAACTGCTCAGTAGGTCCAGCATCTAGAGGATGGTAAAATCAGCTATGCTAACCCTGCAGCCATCTCCTTTATGTGTCATGTTTCTACAGTTCTTCTAAAACCATCCAGAACCTTCTCTCCATCCCCCGGTGCTTCTCCTCATCTTTTTCAAAGCTTGTCTTTTCTCTGTTCTAATTCTTCCTTTTGTTTTCAAGTTGACGTTTATTAATCTGATGAGCCCATATGTTAGGTTATCGAGTACTGATATTAATATTTTTGGTGTCTTTTGAGTGCCTGAACCCAGCGGTTCCTCAAGATGTTTGCCAGTTTGAGTTTCCTGCAGAAATTTTTTAATTTATGGATGCCTGAACCCTACCCCACACCTATAAAACCAAAATATCTGGGGTTGTGGTCCAGTCATACATGTTTTTAATAAGTTCCTCAGTGGGCAGTAACCAGTGGATTCATAACTGGTAGTCACTGTCTCACCTAAATGGTAGAATTTTAGCCAGGAAAAGAGGTCAAAGTGTGTACTATTCATGGGGTATCAGAAAGGCATTTTCCTATTCCATGTTTTAATCACATTACCTTGACTGTCTCTATAGGTACATGAGACAATCTAGTCCAAGTCCAACCTACTCTAATTTTGCTCATTTAATTTTTTGTAAGTCAACTAACCATACATATTTGTCAAAAAGATACAGGAAACAAATGACAACTGTGTCCTCAGCTATATCCAGGCAGCATATACCCTTGAGGGAACATGAGATGGGAGATATCCTTTCATATTTCCTCAGTTGTTGTTGGTCCACACATGTCTCTCATAACACTGGCAATCTCACCTCACCAAGTGGGAGTCTGGTGTTTAGAGCTATGTACATTTTGTGCATCAAGGTCCTCAAATGGACACTAACTCTTTCCTTTGTCTGGTGCCCCACCTTGAAAACAGTCATCATCTCTGAAGCTGGAGGAAAAGCTGGCTGTGCTGGTCTGATTATGTGGGACTCTGACCTGGCACCTGCCCAAAGGATATCCAGGAATAAACTTGACCCATTGCAAGTGCTGTGTTTAGAACCCAACCCTTGAATAAGGTAGAGGCTCACTTTTGGACCAGATGATTTTAGATGCCAGCAGTATTTTGAGTGGTGACTTCCAGGGACATGTATAGGCCAAAGTTAGTTCCAGCTAAACATACATAATGTGAAGGGAGAAGCTTGTTAGATACAGTTGCATCCCTACAGCACACAGTCCAATGCTGGGTGTGTGGTGGGCCTTAATGCACAGCCCTGCAAGGTGGCCAAATGACTGAGGGGGCCAGTAGGGGTGTCGTAGTACTAGTCAACATGGGAGGGCTGTGGACATTTTGCAGCCAAATAGAATGTTCACAGATGCCATGACATTTCACAGCATAGTAAAGAATATTTTTCATTATTTAGGTCTATTTTTTTTAAAAAAGAAGTAAAGGAACCTTCTGATAACAGCTGATAAGCCTTCTGATAAGCAGTGTTTTGTCATATGAGTCTCACATTTTGTATCACATGAATCTTCCCACTTGGTGATACTCAATGGATAGCAGTCATTCAAGAATGTCAGCATTTGAACATCCTGTTTGTCCTTACTTGTAGGCAGAGGCACAGGATGAGAGTTGCAAAGTCCTAATTCTCCAGACAAAATACAAATCTCAATGTATCTTTCCAGATAAATAATATTGATCTTAGGCCAGATACGCTCTTAGATTAATTGGAACCAGGGTCCTAGAAATTTCAGTGTTACGTCAAGCAGTTTAATCTACTTATAAAGTATTATCAAGCAGAGGCAGATTTTCTTTCTGTGACAAGAGGGTCTTTTATTATGATCAGAAATTAATAGGAGGCTCCCTTCCCTCCTGCCCCATTCTGGAGAGTTCCATGATATTCATATACATATACATATTCTTCTTTATGAGCTTCCCTGTGAGGGTGCAGGTAATGAACTTAAATAAAAACCCAACATGATTCAGCATTGTGTTATAAAGTGCGATGATGTGCCATGTGTAAGCAGTCATCTTTCTCTGCTACTTTGAACATTAGCTATTTAGTAGAGAGTTGTTACTTTGAACATTAGCTATTTAGTAGAGGGTTAACTAATCCTATAGTTGATAGTCTTAAAGACTGTGAAAATAGGAAATAGGTTAAGGAGAGAGAAAACTGGTCTTCAGACTGGAACATCATGATTCCCATAAATCAGTGGTTCTCAAACTCGAGCAAGCTCCAGAATCACCTGAAGGGCTTGTTCTGTTAAGGCGAGTGCTGGGCCTCATCTTCAGGACTTCCAGTTGAGTAGATTTGGGTGGGTCCTGGCAGTCTGCATTTCTCACAAGTTCCTGGATGATGCTGATGTTGCTGGTGGGGAAACCACACTTGGGGCACTACTTCCATAAATAATAACACAAGGGGTGGGATTTAGTGACTTCATATACTTCAACGTATTACTTTCCTCTGTTGACCTTTACGAGGACCTGTTCCTTCAGTTGAATTCAGAGCTCAGGTGTGTGTGTCTTTGCTCATACTTTGTTTTAAAAGCTGTCAAGTAACGATCATTTAAAAATCTGGAGATATTGTATAAAATTTTAAAGTTTTAGTTTCTCTTGATGGGTTATACCTGGCACTTTGGGGCCAACATTCTCATACGGCAACAAAAGGCTGAAACTGAGAAGTGGCTGCCCCTTAGGCAGAAAATGCATGCTTCTTTTGGCCATAACCCTCATCACCACTCTCTGTCATTTCCTCTTAGCACACTTCACTCATATGCTTTACCTGCCCACAGGTGTGGATTCTCTGACCCCTGATCTAGACTAAAAGGTACTCACTGTTTTTTATGCGTTGCCTGCATTCCCCACACTTTGAGTATGTTCCCTTCTCTTAGGCCTACCATGAGCCTTCTCTCTTCTCCTCCATCCAGAGGCCATCTTGTCCTTGCCTAAGCCCCAAACTCCAGACACCCTAAGAATTATCTTAAGAGAAGTATAGCTTCCTGTCCAATATTATAATTGCTTCCGGGCTTGTCTTTCATCTTCATTCTTTGGTGAGTCTATGAGGACAGATTTTCTATTTCTAAGAAAATCCCATCACCTTGTACTTTATCTCAGAACTGCTGAGAAGTATAGTGCAGAGAGCCTAGGGTACCTTTCTGAGTCCTGCCCCCTAGTCTTTATGTTCTACGCAATCCCTTTACCTTGAGTATGGGCAGGACCTGTGACTTGCTTCTAACCAATTGACTCTTGTGAAGGTGAAGGTATTTTATCTCATCAGTTGATTTTTTTTAGCTACTCTAAAGGGATACTATTCTGGGTAGGCAGTATATAATTGAGGACCTGTACAAGAGGGACTGGATCCTCTCTGAGGGCAGAGAAATCCTCTTTGCTGGTGTGATGACATTAAGCAGAGGTTTGGAGAAACTCTTATAGGAGGAAATTACAATCAGCCTTGAGGACCTGAGGGCGGCCTCCAGCTAAGAGTCAGAAAAAGCCTGTTCTGGCCACTGTCAATCTCACAGCCACAAGGAAGTGAATTATGCCAACAATCTGAGTGAGCGTGGAGGTGAATTCTTCCCCAGTTGAGCTTCCAGATGAAAACACAACCCAGTCAGCACCTTGACCACAGCCTTGTAAGACCAGATTAGAGAACCCAACTAGGCTGTGTCCCAACTCCTGACCCATGGAAACTGTGGGATAATAAATGTACTGTTTCAGTCACTACATTTGTGATTATTTGTTATACAGCAATGGAAAACTAATAGAAGCAGCAAAGAAAAAGGGAGAAAGAAAAGAAAATTACTTATTGTAGCAATGCTATAAAACATCCTCTCATCTAATGGCTTAAAATACAATTTATTATTTCTTACAATTCTGTGTGTTAACTAGGTGGTAGTTCTGCTCTGCATGGTGTCAGCTGGGGTCACTGACTAAGCTGCATTCAGCTGGTAACTTGGCTGGGCTGCCTCGCTTCTTCTCCTGGTGGGCTCTCTCTCCCTCTGTGTCTCATCCTCTGGGCAATGCTGTGGGTCCACTCTCCTCAGTACAATAACCTGGATTGCCTTACAGTATAGTGGCTAAATTCCAAGAAAGGGAGAACAGAGGGAAGTTGGAGAACAGGCCAGGTGAGCACTTATGGGTGTTGTTCATAAAAGCTACCTACCATCCAATCAGGGTCTTGAGCCAGACAACTGCTTAATAAAACCTTTTAGAGTGAGTTGGGAGAAGGAATGCCGTATTGGTGATTTAACTATGAGTCTATGAAGGCAGCATTGTGATTGCCTATGCAATGTGTCCCTTGCTGGTATTTCATTTCTGAGAGTGGAAATGAGGAGCTATTCATTCATTTATTGGATGCCATTTACTTTTGCCTAATATCCATTGGTTAGTGACTTAACAGCAGCTCTTACACACTTGGAATAAAATATGAACTCCTCAACATGAAAGGAACTGTTCCAGGACCTGCTCAAGAAATAAAGCTGCATACATTTAAATTAGAAAAGTGACTGTGCCCACATCTATGCAGTTGCTCTTCCAAGAGAATTTAAAATGGATTTAAAATCTATAAAAGGGAAAGGTCTAGAATTATTTATCATTGTCTCCCCAGAAGCAGGAGACAGAGATAGCTGGATAGGTAAGACAATGATTTGTTAAGTGATTTAAAGGAAGGGTGGGTAAACTATGGCCCATGGCCATATCTGGCCCTTAGC